ACATGTGATGTTCCAGATGGATTGGCCAGGGGATTATGTTGGCCGTCAGGGAGAGAGCAAGTTCTTTGTAAATTTGTAGAAATCATACAAATTCGAAATCTTCATTTCCCTACCAATCCACCCCCACCACCATGGAGTCCATGAGGGGAAGCTATAGTTGGAAACTGTGAAGGATCTCGGAGATGCAGGAGGCCCCCGAGGTACGGAGCCATAACCCACCCACGTGTGAATGCTGTCCCTCCCAGCAAGCAAGGTGGAATGTGGGTCCCCTTGAGAGGGCAAATGTTGGGGCACAGGATGAGTTACTCGTCCCACCCAGCATGAGGCTTGTGGGGAAAGCACTAGGAAAACCCACAGACGGACATTGGACCTCCACAACCTGCCGACCCCATCTATTTGGGGCAGCTTCGGCGGGGGTGGCAAAGGTAGCGTCCTCCCGGAGCGACTGCCTGAAACTTCAGGTGACCTATCCAGGTAGGCACTTGGAACATCGGTCCATGTGGCAGGACGAGCAGTTATCTCTGCTATCGAGGGAATTAGGAATTGAGGTGGCTGCCCTCTTGGAGGTGAGAAGACCTGGCAGCAGCACGATCAGTAAGGGTTGGGTTCACTTAATACTGGGCGGGCCGCAGTGATGGTCACCACCTCCAAGGAGCAGCCATAGCTATCTCCAGCCAACTCCCTCGATAGTTGAGGTAACAGTAGTTGATGAGCATATTATGGCATTGAGACTGAATCATACTCTTTGCTTCATGTCTCCTTTTTGGTGTGTACATTCCTACCGATGTTTGCAAACTCATGTGAAAGAAGCGATCAACACCAAACTCACATCAGTGGCGGACAACTGTCCCCAGCAAGACATTCGCATTGCTCTGGGTGACTTCAATGCAGTATCCGGCTGTGATCGATCTGGCTACAAGATGTCTGTCGGCCCCCATGACTTGGGAGCTGATCCTAGTAGTGAGAACAGCCTCCTCCTCCAGGACTTTGCTAGGTTCCAGAGAATGAGGATTTCTAGCTCCTGGTATCAGCGCTCCAACCTGCATCGCTGGACATGGTATGGTGATATAGATACTGTGGCCAGGAGATTGACTACATTCTTGTCAGCACTCAATGTCGGATCCTCCAGGGTTTACCAGGAATTCTGTGGCACTGGCCATAGGTTGGTAGTGGCTACCCTACGGGTCCACTTCAAAACTCCTCATCCCTCTGGTGTTTCACTTGGACAAACTGAAGGAGGAGTGTGCCCGGGAGTTCGCTGCAGCAGTCTCTGATCCATTCACAGAACTGAAAACTTGATGGACCCAATTGCTCTGTGGGAGTCCTTCAAGCGCAAAACACTCAATGCAGTGCAGGAGTCCATTGGTGTATGACCGAGGACAAGGCAGAATTCCATCTCCCTGGAGACACTGAAGCATTGCGCATGGCTCGGCTGAACGGCAATCAGGACTTGCATCACTTTTTGGTATGTAGGGCTCGGACACTACTGAAAAGGGACAGGAACAGTTCATAAGGAATCTTGCTGAGGAGGTTGAAGACCCTTTCTTGGGAAATGACCTTCGCCCTGCCTACCCAGCCCTGAGAAAACTGAGCTCAAAGCCCTCCTCGCAGATGAGTGCAGTCTGCTCAGTGGATGGCCAGATAATCTCTCATGTCGGGATTCGTGAATGTTGGGCTGAGTATTTTGGGCAGCTGTACCAGGTATAACCCACCAACAGTTAGCGTGGATGCAGGTGGTATCACAATCTGTAAAACCTCGCTATCATTACTCTATGGAGCTAGTTAGATCCTAGTTTCTCACTCCTTTTAGTGGTTACGTGACATGGTTAGTTTAGTACTGGCCCTCCATTCTCATATCCAGAGTGACCTAGGTTCGAGACCTGGTCAGGGAGGATTGTTCTATTTCTATATCAATGCGGTACTGCACTATTCCATCTTTCATATATATATACCTCAGCATATCTTTTCGGTTTCGAATTCCTAAATCAATTTCCACCGACTGCCCCACGGGGGAGTGTGTGTGTAAAACCTCGCTATCATTACTCATGTATTA